GAATTTTGTTGAAAATTTTTGCATCTATATTCATGAGAGCTATTGGTCTGTAATTTTCTTTCTTTTAGTGGCATCTTTACCTGGTTTTGGTATCAAGGTTATGCTGGCTTCGTAGAATGAATTTGGACGTGTCACTTCCTTTTCTGTATTCTGAACTTGTTTGAGTACTACTGGTATAAGCTCTTCTCTGAATGTTTGGTAGAATTCTCCAGTGAAGCCATCTGGGCGAGGACTTTTTTTTTTGTTGGGAGTTTTTTTAAATTATCTTTTCAATGTCTTCTCTTGTTATGGTCTGTTCAGATTTTCAACATCACTTTGTGTTAGTTTGGGTAGGTAGTGTGTTTCTAGAAATTTATCCTTTTCCTCTAGGTTTTCAAATTTGTTGGAATATAGTTTTTCATAATACTCTGTTATGATCCTTTTTATTTCAGTTGGGTCTGTCATAATGTCCCCCATTTCATTTCTTAATTGAGTTATTTGTGTCCTCTCCTGTTTTTCTTTTGTCAGTCTAGCCAGTGGTTTGTCGATCCTCTCAAAGAACCAACTTTTAGGTTTTTTGATTCTTTCTATAGTGTTTTTATTCTCTATTCATTTATTTCTTCTTTGATCTTTATTTTCTTTCTTCTGGTGGCTGGGGGCTTTTTCTTTTCTTTTTTCTTTTGCTGTTCTCTTTCTATTTGTTCAAGTTGTGTAATTAATGTTTTGATTTTGTCCCTTCTTTTTTGATGTGTGCATCTATTGCTATAAATTGTTCTCTGAGGACTGCCTTTGCTGTGTCCCAAATGTTTTGGTATGATGTGTTTTCATTCTTGCTTGATTCTAGGAATTTTTTTGATTCCATCTCTGATTTCTTCCATTACCCAGTGGTTTGTAAGCAGGGTGTTATTCAGTTTCCATGTAATTGACATTCAGTGTAATTATTGATAGGTATGAGTTTATTGCTGTCATTTTGTAGTGCCTTTATTTTGTGGTGCTGACTTTTTTTTGTTCCTCTTATTCTCCTACCCTGAATTCCTTTTGTTTGTGGATTTTTTTTATTTCTTTTGTTTTTGTAGGTTTTGTTTCTACTGAGACTTTGTGTTTTTCTTCTTTATGTTGATGAGTAGATTTGTTAAATTTCTTTGTGGTTACCGTGAAATTTACTCTTATCTTCCTAGGTTTGAACCAGTCTGTATTATTTGGTATCGCCTTGAAGGTTGTATACTTACACCATTTTTTCTCTCTTTTATTGTTCTGATGTTGTTGTCATTTACAAATTAACCCCTCTGGTTACCTATTGTAATTCTTTTGGTTTTGGATGGTCCTTGACAGTTCGTTTCCTAGATTGGTATTTGGCTGGTAAAATCCTGCATCCTAGATTCAGCCTGTGGTCTGATGTTGTTTGTTCTCAGATTGAAGGACTCCCTTTAATAATTGTTGTAAATTTGGTTTGGGTTTTACATAGTCCCATAATTTTTGTTTATCTGGCAATAGTCCTAATTTTACCATCATATTTAAATGAGAATTTTGCAGGGTATATTATTCTTGGCTG